TAAGTTAATTAAAGTAAAGTAAGTAGTGTACGTAATAATAATATAGTAGTATATTATTTATTTACGTTACGTAGTCGTCTTTCTTTCTTACTATATATATATATATATATATATATATATATATATATATATATCTTGATGTTGAGATGATCAATTAGAAGTTTTACGAACAAAAAACTACTTCTTCTTTTTTTTTTTTTTTTTTTTGTAAAGATTTTAGAGGTGAACCTTAATTCTACATTTTTAAAAAAATTTTAGAAGTACACCTTAATTCTACATTTTTTCGAAGGATTTTAGAGGTGCACCTTAATTCTACATTTTTCTACTGCTTCTACATTTTTCTGCTACTATTACGACTTAGTTGAGTAAAGACATAGACACATCATGGCTTTCTCCCTCACCTTGAACTATTTTCAAAAATTTGGCTGTGAAGCAAGGTTGTAGGGGCGAAAATCTTCCCGGAGGGTAAAAAGTACGAAGGTGATGCCACTACAGAAGATGTGTATTCGCCGATGGACCTGGCAGGCCATGGCACCTCTGTGGCTTCGATCGCAGCTGGAAACTGGGTCGACAACGCGAACTTATTTGGCATCGCTAATGGCACAGCACGAGGGGCTGTCCCTGGTGCTAGAATCGCAATGTACAAGGTATGCTGGAGAGCACCAGATAACGAGTGTTACGAAGCAGATATCCTCAAAGCCATGGATGAAGCCATAGCAGATGGTGTTGATATTCTATCAATTTCATTGGTGGTTGATGATGAGACTGGCACCTTTGATGGCGGTCTGAGTATCGGCACCTTCCATGCGATGAAAAAGGGTATCCTTTCAGTGGCCGGCGCAGGGAATGATGGGCCGGGGTTGGGGACAGTACGCAATTGTGCACCATGGATTCTCACAGTGGGCATGACAAATACTGATCGACAGCTGAAGAATACTCTCCTTTTAGGCAATGGCCAAAAGCTCGAAGTAAATCCCCCACTTATTCATCATCTTCCTTTCCACACCACAGTTTTAAAAAAGGACCTGAGTCAGGACTCGCGATTTTCCAGTGCCCGAGCTCACAAACTTGGACTCGGCCGAATTTGTTGGAACCCGACCAAGTCTTGAAGAAGTAATTATTAAATATTAGGAGCAAGCAAGAGTCGCCCGGTTCCCATAGGTTTGATTCTTGCTCGGCTTGTAAAATTGGACAGGTTTCGACGATTCTGAGTCTACTCGTCTAAGTTTGAATTTCACTGCTAGTAATCAGGCTAAGCATTCGAACCTAGACTTGATCTGCACAGTTGTTGACAGTCTCAACTCCACATCATAAGTTCAACTCCTCTACCAAAAAAAAAAAGTCCGAAAATTTATAAAATCCTCTCTTCAAAAGAAAAAAAAGAAAAAGAGGGGAAATTAGGTATATATCTGCTGTATTTACTATCTTTTAAAACATGACAGTTCCGCCTATTTTTTGTTTTTCAAAAATCGAAATGAGACTGGATTCTATTTTTGAAAAAACGAATTACTGAATCGTTACAATGCAATAATCCTACTGAAATCGTTACAATGCAGTAATCTTACTCTCTCTCTCTCTCTCTGCAATCTAACTTTTATGTGTCGAGCAATGTGTGTTTCCCTCTCTCTTTCTCTGCAATCTAACATTTTTATGTGTGGAGCAATGTGTGTGCAGGGAGAGGGGGCCATAAATGTGTTCAAGTCCCCGAAGAATTTCGCACCTTTAATCACGAGTGTGGACAGCTCACAATGTGACTTCAAGGATGAGGAATGCAGAGATAATGCAGGGTTAGTTATACTCTTTTCTTTCCTTGCAATGATAACTAGCAGAGACTCACTTGGACTCTTGCTACCGATTCCGGAAAGAAACTATGAACCACCAGACCAGTGTTCGCAAACTCGGACGATCCAATTTGGAACCGGCTGGTCAAACTGAAATAGGTCATTGGCCGATCCGGTTTCGAGGGTCCAAAGGGTATTTAAATATTTTTTAAAAATGTATATAAAACCTCAAATAATAAGGGATTTGTTTGTAATGTATTTTTGAATTATTTTTTTTATCATTTTGAGAAGAATTCGAAAGTGTTTTGCCCTGAATATTTATTTTTACATTTTCCTATCTCTTTTAGAAAATTTTAAAAATACCTTGAGCTCAAATCAATTTTTTAAAACCCACTTTTTTCTACTACTTTTCAACTTCATTTGGATGTGCTTTATTTAATCATGCTTTAAATATATTTTTTGTATTTTTTTATTTTTTTTAACACTTTGTGGACTAGCTGGGACTTGCCTGATTAGGCTGGTTGAATCAGCGGGTTTACAAGTTATTTAGAGCATAAAAGAGGCAATAGAAATCATCAGAAAAAACTCTACAAAAGATGGATTATTAAAAATTTTGATTCAGATCTTGAATATTTCTGAATTTTTTTAAACAATATAAAAGTTCCCCAAATCACCTTAAAAACTATCAAAATCATATAACAAACTAATAACAAGTAATATGGTGGTGTTTTTCAAATTATTTTTTAACCTTTTCTCTCTTTTTATATATATATATATACTTTTTCACTCCTTTTGGGCAAGTGGCTATGGAACTTGCCCTAACTTGACCTTGCACATAGGACGATTTCGAGTTACTCACCCAAATCACAACACTCTGCTAATCTTAATCCTCAAAACGTTGATGTCCAAACAGGGTATTAATTTGCTCGGCCGAGACCACCTGTCTCTTTATGAAATTTCAAAATTTCTTAAGCAAATATGGTGTGAGTATGAAAATTATTTCATGAAGATCCTAACTTGTTTTAATGCTTGTTTGTTTCTAGGACTTGTTATTTTTACATGGACTCCGATAGGACTAAGGGTAAGATTTTATTATGTAAAATTCCACCGGAAGCCGGTATGATGCGCCAGTACTTCAAGCGTTCACACCAGGGCATCGTTGGATCAATCTGGTTCGACACTGTTCCACCACCTGATCTCGTCGAGAATCCCTACGTACTATCTGAGTCTGATGGACCACAAATCGGAATCAATAGGTCCACCACCAATATACTCTTGCAATATTTGAAATCCAATAAGTATGTGTTATTTAACTCTCTCTCTTTTTGTTCTTTTTTTAAGTGAGCTAACAATAATATCAACATGATAGTTATATATACAACAAGAACAATTGGTATCAGGCATTGCTCTAAAGCTCACATTCAGGTCCAACGGAGATCAGTTAATCATGAATCTCTAAAAAATAAGCCCTTGAAGACAATAAAATCTTTTCGTAAGTTACATGTTGGAAATCTAAGCTAGAGTTGATTAGGAGATTTGTTCATGAATAAATTCAGTCATGATGCACCTTTAAAAGTGTCAATCTTAAAAAATACCAACCCGATACCACACAATTACTCTGCAAAGTCATACTTTTAGATTACACTTCTTCTTAATAAAAAAAATTAATTCCAAATTAAAATAACTCTTTCTTTGCATATTAGTAACATAGAATTAGAAGACCGTAGGAAGAAATCTAAATAAGGACAAGGTTTAGATAAGGGCAAGGCCTTACAAAATCAAATTAAATCACACCTCAAAATTTCACTAAAAGAGGTTGTTTCTATACCCAAAAATCTTCAAATTGATCATCTCAACCTCAAGATGCATGGGCATGAGAAAAATCAATTTCAAATCTTGAAAATAGCGCATCTTGTAATAAATTTTCGGACCGTCAATTTTCAATATTTGAAGTGTTCATAGATATGCTCAATCTATACTATTTTTTACGCTTTAAATTTTATAATTAGAGATAAAAATAAATCTTTAGGTCATCTCATCACAAATATTTTTAGTGTTTAAACAATATCTTTTAATAATATTTGAAGGTGCGCTTTACTTTGATTGTTTGGGGTCCCAGCTTTATTTAAATCACACCCATTAAATAATGGCCCTATTTAATTTTTATTGGACATTGTTATATGCTTCAATTAGGTCTGCTGTGGGAAAGATATTGCAAACGGAAAGCATCATTGGCGGTGGGGTTGCCCCGATTGTGTCATCCGGATCTTGTCGAGGTCCGGATCGCTTAGGATGGGGAGTGCTTAAGGTACAATCTTAGCCCTTATTAAGATTACAAATCTCTCTCTCTCTCTTCGTGTGTTTACACGTACGCACGTGTGTCTCTTGTATTGGAGTACATTGCATCACACATAGGGCTGCCAAACAGGCCATGTCAGCTTACACCAAGCCTAGCCAGAGGCATTTCTTATATCAAAAGTAAATGATCTTATAGTATACAATCCGATAAAACATAAAAAAATTTAAATACAAATGAAAAATTACAACCATCAAACAAAAGAGAATAACTAAGATTAGCCGAGAGAAAATAAAGCTCTATGGAAATAGCATTGAAATTATAGAGAAAAACTTTGGGAGAGGAATAAAATCATCCGTACACGTGCATGTTGTATATCCTAACCGGCAAAAATTAGAAGTAAAAAATATTATACTCCTTTGGGAGTCACCTATCCATTTACTCCCACGGGTAAAGCATCTAGGATTAATTTTGGGGATAAAAGCTCTTCAACCATGTTACCGTCAAAAAATAAAATATAACCTAATTGCACTCTCTATACACTTTAAAAAAAATATATAACGTCTACAACCATAGAGACTATCCAATTATTAGAGTGTGATATCCAAGTGTTAAAAAAATCAATTTTAATTTTATCTATGAGATGAATCCACCAGTGATTTTTAGATGGTTCTCAAAATTTCAAATTAAAAACATCCTCCCAAATAGGGACTAACGGAATAAATATAAATTACGCACCCATAAGAATATAGTACACTTGCCCTAGAAGCAAAAAGGAATTTGACTAGTAAAACAAGCAAAAATTAAGATCTTTACAAAAGTCTTCTTATAAATTATCCTAATTAAGAAACCAATTTCAATTAAATTAGGATACATTCAAACTTCCAAAAAAATTGTATAGCTTGTGAGTATATTTGCAACAAGCTCTTAATTCCCCCTTGCTAAATACAGACTCTCTCTCTCTCTCATGCCCTTTAAGTTCCTAATATCAATTCCTAAATATCTCTTCTCACACACACACTTTCTCTCTCTCTCTCTCTCTCAACTATCACATACTCATTTAGGGACTCCCCAAAAATCTCTATTTTGTTACAGTGATAAAGTTGCACAAAAAGTTTATGAAAATTTGTATGGCTGGAAACATGATGCGTTACCAAGGCACAATTGATACATTCGATTTATGATATTATATTTCTGATGCTCTTGACTCTGGAACAATGTTTCACTGAGGTTATGGTTTTTAATAAAGTAGAATGACGGACCAAAATTTGTGTAACCGACCTCAATTAATAGAAAAATGCATGTTAATGATAGCAATGATTTTCAAGATCAAATTACCAATTTATCAAAGTATCAGAGTAGAATGACGAACCAAAATTCGCGTAACCGACCTCAATTAATAAAAAAATGTCACGTTGATGATAGCAATGATTTTCAAGATCAAATTACCAATTAGTCAAAATATCAGAGTCCCTTAGGCTTTGACTTTGTCACAAATTTATCAGTTTAGGTGGTGTTTGATACTTCAAAATTTGTCTTGAAAATCCCAAACAAGGTAATCTAACCATTTTCTTTCTTGATATTATTTTCAAAACAAATAAATTTTTCTTGCTCTTCTTTAATATCTGAATAAAATCTATGAAAAGAAGTCAAATAAAAGTTTATTTTGTTTGATGCAGCCAGATGTTGTCGCACCGGGGGAAAATATATTGCTTGCCATTCCAAGTTATAAGACTTATCTCTACGATACTTTCAGTTCTCACAACCGGCCCACATTCAGTTTTGGTACGGGCACATCATTTGCAACTCCCCATGTTGGTGGGGTGGCAGCCTACATTAAGTCTTTTCACCCTACTTGGTCACCAGCTGCAATTAAATCAGCCATCACCACTACCAGTAAGTATGGCACAACATGTGTTTCAGTTTAGAAAAATTAGGGTTGGTAATGGGATTGTAACCGGACGTGGATGTAGACGGGAACGTAGACCCAAACCCAATACTATTCGGGTCCAAAATTTGGACCCCAGACCCAACTTTTCGGTCAAAAAATTTGGACCCATACCCAGACCCGAAGTCGGATCTACTCGTCGGGTCCTGGATCTGGTCTTTCTTTTTTTTCTTGCCCTTTTTTTAACCATCATATACTTATATTATTGGCAACATTTACCTTATATACTTATATTATTGGCAACATTTACAGTATTCCACAACATCTTTGAATACTCACATATTCCACTGAAAATACCTAAAAAAAAACAAATGTATTAGCAACATTTATGAATACCTACACATTACCCATATTATTTGGGTCGGGCCCAGATCGGGTCTAGACCCAATCCCGAATAGTATTCAAGTCCCAAGTTTAGTTGGGTCCATTGTCATCCCTAAGCAAAATGGTGCGTGCATTTGAGAAATTGGCGAGTCTTACTCAAGACTCAACAAGCGGTTACATTCGAAACCCGGCTGAGTCGAGTTGCCAGTTATTACCCTTTTTAGGACTCAAATGAGTCTAGGATAAACTCAGCTGATTCGAGTTGCCTACCTTGGGCTTGGGACCCCATCCAGTTATCTATATTTTTCCAATTCATTTGCATTAAGTTCTGCATTAAATTTGGTTTGATTTTACTCTTGTAGAATACAATGATCAAAATCATGATACTTCGGTCTGAATATTTTTTGAAACATGAGATTTTCATCCGTAAGTTAGGTAATCCCGTTTCAATTAACTTTTTCATTAAAGAGTTAGTTGTTCAAATTTACATGAAAATGTGGTTTACAGTGAAAGTTAGTATAGCGGAGGGAAAGGGAATGGAGCTTAAACGAAGTGCATCACAAAACATTGAATTGAATGTTGACAAATACCCGTATCAATTCCTTGAAAATTGATTCATAGTTGAAGTTCAAAAAAAAAAAAAAACTTGAAAATTAGCTCTTTTGAGTTTTGGATACCAATATGGCTCTTTCTCAAGCTTGATTCACAATCTTACTTTACGAAATATTGAAATAATACGGCTTGAGCATAGATAAAAAATTTTGCTTCATTTATGTTCAAATATTGTTGAGGTGCTCAAGCCATTATGGCATATCATCCTCTTCTCTACCACCTCTTCATCCACTTATTATGTAGCATTAAAAGGGAAATTATATTATATATACCAAAAACTCTAATATTTATATATAATAGTTAAGAGTACAATTATGTCTACGTGCATTGGCTAAAGTACTACGTATTATCGACATCTGTGGACACCGACACCGATTCCATTCATGCCACATTGTAACTAATCACATGACTGATCTTGTTCTAGCAACTCCAGCAATATCAGTCCAGCACCAAGCTGAGTTCGCCTACGGTGCTGGAATGATCAACCCTGTGGGAGCCCTAAATCCTGGTCTCGTGTACGACATGAACGAGACAGACTATTCAGCGTACCTGTGCCGGTTAGGAATCAGCCCGGGAAAAGCTTGGGACAATAGCATCTCCCCCTGCTCGAGTTTTCCTCAAGCAAAGGGAACCGATGGCCTAAATTACCCCACCATACAACTCACTGTGAACAACACCGATGGCCCTTTCGAAGCCACATTCGAACGCACCGTAACAAATGTTGATGATCAAGACTCTGTGTATACTGCCAAAGTTGAGGCTCCACAAGGCATCAACATCACTGTATCCCCTCAAAATCTCAGCTTCAATACGTGCAATAAGACTGGGTCGTTTCAAGTGAAGATCATGGGCAATTCCTTTGGATATCACAGGATTGCATCAGGGGCTCTTATATGGAGTGATTCAGTCCATAATGTAAGGAGCCCCATTGTAATACATAGTGTGAAGGTGTAGACTAGCATCTTTACCAACATAATAATACAATTGTAGGTCCTTCTACTCTTAATAGTTGTGATAGCTTGCTTCCTATGTACTAGCAATGTGCTGACATGGGATTGGAGTTGATAAAAAAGAAAGGCTACAATTATATAGCAAAGATAATGGTATATGCCAATACACAAAAGATATGGCTTTTAATAGAACAAAATAGCGAACTAAGATTTATATAGTCAACCCACGTTTTGTATTGGAGAAAAATGAGGTGAGAGAGAAAAAATAATAGATAAGAGAGAGGTGCCAAAGAGGGCACAGAGGAGATTTGAGCAATTTTTTTAGATATAAGTCACAATCACCTCTAACCATCAGATGTGAAATCAATCGATTACAGTTCTATCATTCACCCTATGCAAAGTTCAAAAAACATTCTCTTAGGCATTATGTGGAAAAATGACACCGCCACAATCACCCAACTTCAAATCTAACAAAAGAGGCAAGCAACCATTTATCGTGCATGCTTTAAAGGAGGTCAAACTAACAAAGATAACGATGATATCATCTAAGGGGAAATAACGAAAAAGGTTATAACAAGAGTCAATAGCTTCACCCTTTCATCATCATCGTCAAAACTTTTTCTCAATTAATTGAGGCCAACTACACAAATCCGAATCCGTCATTCTGCTCTATTAAGGATCATTCTTTCAATGAGGCTATAAGTCTTCATATATTTTTTCATTACTTCCAACCATGTCCTTTTGGACCTACCTCTTGCCCTTTGTAGCCTTCAACTTAAACTAACTCGCACCTCCTAACAAGTTTATTGCGTCTACGTTACAGATTGGCCAGTCCACCTATATCTAGTCCATCTCATCACTTATTGGTGCCACACCTAAACTTTCCCAAATTTATTCATTGTGAATTCTATCCATTCTTGTCTTGCCACTCATCCATCTCAACATCCTTATCTCCGCTAAACTCATTCTATGGGTATATTGTTTTTTGACCGCCCAATATTCCGCCCCATAGAGCAAAGCCTAGTTTCACAGTTGTTTTATAAAACTTACCCTTCAACTTCATTGGTATGCAGCGATCATATAAAATTGTGATTGCACATCTTCATTTCATCCCTCCAGCTCTAATTCTATGTGCGACGTCTTCCTTAGTCTCTCCATTTTCATGGATTATTGATCCAAGATATTGAAATGCACTCTTTTTTATATTTCCCAACCGTCAATCTTAACTATTTCATCGTCCGTACTCCTATTATTATTAAACTTGCATTCTATATACTTTATCTTAGTCCAGATAATTTTAAAACCTTTAGAGCATCCTTCCAAAGTTGTAACTTTGTGTTGACACCATTTTGGGACTTATCGATCAAAACTATATCATATGAACAACATACATCGCGGTACCTCATCTTGTAAGTGCCTAATTAAGTCATCCATACAACTGGTTTTATGCCAAAATGGTGCATGTTTAACATGTACGAATTTTAATGTTCTAACCTTAAACAATGGGTTCATGTCATCATTTCTCATTTCAGGTCCCACAATTTACAAGTTAAATTCATCTTTTTTTTTTTTGCTAAACAAAGGGAAAGTTCATAATAAGACAGTTTATTTATAAAATTAGGTGGTTGGGAGTGTATCATTCAAACTCAACATTTGTAAGAAAGCAATGTGATAAACAATCTAGTATTTTGCAGAGAAAGAGGAGATTGGAAAACTCGGTTGATAAATAGGCAGCAATGCAGCATGGGCCATTATGTCATGTTACAAGGGAACAAAAAAGTGGAACTCAAAATTGAAAGAATTGCAAGAAAATGATGCAAGAAGAAACTGGACTCAGATCTTATCTTTGCCTTTCCTTAGTCTTTCAAGCTCAGTTTCAGCCTCTTTGAGTTGCAACCTGAGGGTAGATATTCTTTTCACCAGCTCTTCCACAGTCCCCTTGGGGGTGGTGGACGGCTGATATGGTGTTAAGACGTGTGCAGAAAATTTCTTTAGTGCTTCAACCCCACAAACCTGAGAAACACCAATTCTAGTTAGGCTCTCTCTCTCAAACATGCACACACGTGCACACACACACACACACGAGCACACACACATGAGCATGTGCAAGAACTTCCACTCCACATGACCAACCCTCAGTCACACCACTCTCTCTCTATCTCCCTCTCCTCTCTCTCTCTCTCTCTCACACAA